ATAAAAGAAGAAAAATAAACTGAATATATAATATATATTGTTTTTCTCAGCAGCAAGATATTTTTCTATGTGCGCTATTTATATTTTAGAAACTAAAATAAACTGCTAAAAAATTTTTTCTTAGCGAAATTTGCTGAGTATCTTAGCAAGATGCACCTTATCAACAATCTATTTTTACACTCTACTACACTGAGAAAAAAATATGTAAAAAATAAAAAATATTTATTTGAGTAATAATAATATATTTAAATTTATAAATTCTTTTATTTAAATAGAATAGACATTTATTTAAATAGAATAGACAATTATTTTCAGGAGAAACTAAGTTACGGAAAAACTAACGTTTTGAGAAAATATATATTTTCTTGTGGAAAATATTTTCTATTAATATAATTAAGTATGTTATTGATATCCACTGAATAAATATTTTTTACTTCTTAGATATCTTTTCTCTAAGCGCGGAAACATAACGAATAATTAAACAATTTATAAAAAAAAACTACAACATTTTTTCTCTGTATGCCTGCACTATCAAATTACACCAAGCTCTTGATATTTTAACAACGAGGGAAACTCAACTGTATCAAATCTCGACGTATTCTATTAAACGCAAATTTGTTAGAAAATCAGCATTCCTGCATGTGTTTATTGTTTCCTTGAGTTCTTCGAGGAGAGCAACGTTGGTCACGGCGTGACGAGTTCGTCCTCATATTACGAGGAAATTGACTCGAGGTCCCGTCGTTGTACTTTTCTTGGCAAGATGGAAGGATTCTTTCGTTCCGACGGAAGTATGATTACGGTAATCGCGGTAAGTATGAAATTCTCGACGATCATAATAAACTCCTTCGTCCTTTATATATGCCATACGACCTACGCACGGTACTTCAAGACGATACGCTGTTTATACTGAATTCCATGCGACGAAACGCGCAAGTGTCGCATAGATGTGACATTTACGCAATTATGACAAAAGATTATCGCAATTTCTCCGTGTACGAAAAACTTGCTTATCGTACGCGAAGAAATATGACCGGACTGGTCACTCAGAGGCTAAAGATAATAGACTTGGGCGAACCTACGAGAAATTCGAGCCCGTTCAAAGAATACGCCCGATGCTTGCGATACACACGGCTTTGTCGTGCGAGTGACGTAGCAGAACGGTGATGTTCACGGATACCTCGTGTCACGGGAAGATTACGACGGAAGTGGGGGGGAGAGGAGGGAAATAGAGGAGAGCCGGCCGGGCCGCTCGCCCGTCTCTCGCGCTCGAAGAGTGTTTGCTCGTGAGATGGAACGCAAATTAGGTTTGGACGGGGATCGAAGCCCCCGTCGTATCGAAATAAAGGCGGCACGTAAAATATACGCCACCACCCCCGAGCTCCACCCGCGCCACCCGTAACCTTTCGACGAACGAGGGATGAGGGCCACACCGACACTCGCCTCTCTAAGCTCGTAGACCCTGTCAAGTTCTTCTTCTCCGCCGTAGAACAGCGGAAAGGAGCGCGCCTTTTCCCTCGCGATGTCATTTCGTATGCTAACCCTGATCTGCGTCTGTGTTACCTCAAAATTGCCGTGGAGCATCGTCGATCTCGCGCATGATGGATGCGGTACGCGACTGAAAGGTACGAGACAATGAAAAGAGGGTCTGTTCATGATACGACTTACTAATTAGACAGCAGTGATACCAGCTACCTATCTCTAACTTCACTTTATATTTGTATATGCAATATTTATTTACGCGTTAACAAATAATATTCCTTTAAGGAAAGAAAAAGAGAAAGAAAGAGTACAGATAAAACGAAACAAACTAAAATAAAATAAAACTATCGTAAATAAGAACGAAATAAAAATGCTGTAATAGTGAAATAACAATTAATACTATTATAAAATTAATACTAAAATTACTGACAATTTTTATCAGAGCGGTCAAAATGACAAATTTTTTTTTCGATACATAGTGTAAAAAAGAAAAATTGACTTACTCTTTTCAGCTTTATTAAATCGAAAATATAAAATGCACTGTTGCAAATTTAAGTAATTTTTATGAGAAATTATCTGTAATTTTGATTATTTTAATTGTTTCTAATATTAACTAAATAGTCCGTGTTTTCCATTCAAATATCTTGATAAAGCAGATGATCCCTAATAAAAATTTAATGCATTTCCAAATATACATAATGTGAGCTATAAATTTTCAATAAAATTTTCCTCAAAAAGAACGTTTTGGAATATAACTCTAGTAACTAAGGGATAAAACTATTTGTGTGGAATCCCAACTAAAATGTAACACTTTTCCTGCAGTTATTTCGCGAAAAATGCACGAAATCTCAATTCATTTACTACAGAATAGTAAATGAACAAAAAACTATTCAATTGAATGACAATCAAGTTTATTGTCCATAAAATGGACAAGTTTGCTCTGATAGTATTTCATTATTCGTGTGCATTCTTCCTGATTGAAAAATTTTAATAAGATCCATAGCGTATAGGAAATCTTTTGCGTAATAAGTATTTTCATGGCTCTTTCCTTTTTTACGTAACATTTTTCACAATCATCGAATGATATATGTTCTTTCATTCATTTTTTTTAGTCGAATATTTCATTAGGTTCTAAGACTGAGCTATCATGAAAGTTTTTATTTATTTTATTTATTTATTTATTTATTTATTTATTTTATTTTATTTATTTATTTATTTATTTTATCATCATTCAAATAGTCTAACGTGTTTTCATTATAATGAAATTCTGTATTGTGTATTCTGTATTATGAAATTCTATATTATTAGCACATATCCTATTTACTATTATTTCTAGTTATCATCTCTCTGTCA